CGTACCCCCGAACCAGTCGGTCAAAGAACAAGAAGTCAGAACCCACAACTTCTGGAAACCACTTTAGACGACTTACTACGTCGTACGAAGAACAAGAAGAAAGGAAGACAAACCGAATTGGAAGGAGCAGATATCAACGAGTTCTTCACGCCCGGAGCACCAAACCCTCCAACCCCATCAGTACAGACCAACTCAGCCAACCAACAAGAGAAGACCACCGTCACCCCGAACGCCGCTGCCAGTAAAACCAGAAAAACGCCACAAGTGGAAACCGACAAGACACCAACCCCAAACAAGCAGAATCCAGGATCCACACAATCTGCTGATAGGAATTCCACCGCCACTCCATTACGCCTCCACACCACTCCTAAGAAGCGTAATATCGCAACTAAACTTCTGGAAGCTCTAAACATCTCTCCACGAGATCCCAAACTTGTAGTACAAAGTGATACTCCCCGTATTCTCAAGCACTCAGAGCTAATCAATCAATCAATAGCCCGTTCCAAATCCACACTTGAAGCATCTACCTCCTCCTCAGCCAAATCTACTACGGTTTCCGACGTCCCCACCCTATCTTCAACCCACCCGGAAACCGCTCCACAAACGATCGCGGATCGTCTCCTATCCAAATCTATTAGTCCACCCAATCCGCCACCCACGACTACGTCTACCCGGACAAGCCCCACCAGTCGCTCCGAAGAAGCCAGCAACCCATCAGTCGTTGCTCTTTCATCGGATTCCTCTCCTGCATCTTCATCCGATCACACGTACGTTCCTTCAACTTCCCCCTCAGGAACCGAAGAACAATCAACGTCGCCACGAAGACCCACCGGAAGACCTTCACCTAATCGCAGTCCAACCGTAGCCCCGCAGATCATGACTGTCGAGAAGGATTTACCAGGAGCAGGAAAGAAAGCCATCGCTGCCGTCATCACATCTCCACTCTGTCCCAAGTACGACGGAACTCTCAACTTCCGAGAGTTCGTTGATGATCTCAACACCTTCGCCAATTCATTTGGACTCGTCGTACCAGAACGGCTGACCATACTACCTATACTCTTACGAACCCCAGCGTCCAAAAATGCTTACAAAGCACTGGACCCCGAGCTTCAACGCTGCGGTCCGTGGAACGCAATCCTTGAGAAATTAGCAGATAAACTCTGCCCTAAATACAGCCAGGAACCAGCTCTGATCGATCTCCAGAACACTGTACAAGGCGATCTATCAATAGAAGCTTTCGCACACGTGCTGGAAAGGAAATCCTACGAAGCTTTTGGCTACAACAATCCGCTTAGGGACCAGACCCTCAAAACTACATTCATCCGAGGACTAAAACCTTCGCTTAGACGAATAGTCATGAGGGCCCGGCCAACTGACCTTAACGAAGCCATCGAAATCGCCAAAGAAGAGCAATCCATCATCAACCAGACCACAGAGGACGAGGACAGGCTCATCAACGCTGTCAACAGAATTCTAGGACCATATGCACCTAGAGACCAAAGCCCACAGCCACCTCCCCGAAGACGGTTCTCCAACTACCAAGACGATGGAAACTACAGAGGACCCACGTCATCAGGACCACCACAGCCTCCCAGACGTGTCCACTGGAACCAAAGAAGCTTCAGAGAACCTAACAATCATCCAAGACAATCAA